GATAGAGCTGCATTTCACTATCGAGTTCAACAATTGCAAAGAGAGAGAAACCAGAAAATGAAGAGGAACGGAGATGAGGAGAGAGGTCGGGGAGAAAAGAGGTTTAGAGCGAACCCACCTACACAACAACAAGAATGGAGGAAGAGGAGAGATGACCAAGGTGTAAGAAATTTCCATGGTCAAAGACAACAAAACGATCGGAGAGCTGGTCCTAGAGATATGCATTTCTGCTGCAAGAAATGCGGGAGAGATCACCCGGGGCTTAACTGCGATGGGAGTCTAACCATGTGCTTCCGTTGCGGGAAGCTAGGGCACCAAGCTTTCGAGTGTCTCTCAAAGACCAATGGGGCACCATCGAACCAGGTGCAATATCGTGATGGAGGGAGGCCAGATGTGAACCGAACAGGACCAAATGGCAGATAAAACAACAACAACAATGCCGCCACCACCACCAACAACAACCACAACCCTCGAGGAGGAGGGGAGAATAACCGTGGCCATGGCCATGATGGGAACAATGACAACCGTCCGAATCAAGGGCGAATCATGGTGATGAACCAAGCCCAAGCCAATGCTAACGATGTGGTCTCAGGTACATTCCTTGTAAATTCTGAGCCTGCTTATGTTCTAATTGATTCTGGTGCTTCTCATAGTTTCATATCTTCTAGTTTCGTTAAGAAATTGAAGATTGAACCAACGGCTAGAATAGACTTGAATGTAAGAACTGGCTTAGATAAATTTGTAGCTTGTGGAAATGTATACTCCAACATTTCCATAATCATATCAGAATCCAATCTACTCGGAGATTTGATTGAGTTCGACTTAGAAGATATAGAGATAGTACTGGGCATGGATCGGTTGGGGAAGTACAAAGCCAGGATCCTCTGTGATGAACAGAAGGTGATCTTGAAGGGTCCAAATGGGAAGCGAATATCTCACAAATCAATCACAGCCAAGCCAAGTATGGATCTGATGACTATGCTACAATTAAGACAACATATTCAAAATGGGTATGAAACATATTTGTGCTTGATGAAAGAGGTGAATACGGAGGAGCCAAACATTGACCAAATTGATGTAGTCAACGAATTTCTGGACGTATTTCCAGAAGAGATTCCGGGTATGCCGCCCGAGAGAGAAGTTGAATTCTTTATAGAGTTGATGCCCGGAACTGCACCAATTTCAAAAGCACCTTACCGGATGGCACCAAAAGAAATGCAGGAGATGAAGGAGCAACCAGAAGAACTGTTAGAGAAGGCGTACGTAAGGCCGAATATCTCACCTTGGGGCGCTCCAGTCTTATTTGTCAAAAAGAAAGATGAGAGTCTAAGACTATGCATCGATTACCGAGAGTTGGATCAAGCAACTATCAAGAACAAATATCCATTACCCCGGATTGACAACTTGTTTGATCAATTGAAAGGGGCTAGCACGTTCTCTAAAATAGACTTGCGCTCTGGCTATCATCAAGTGAGAATAGCCGAGAAAGATGTACCAAAGACAACATTCCGCACGAGGTATGGACACTACGAGTTCACTGTGATGCTGTTTGGTTTGACCAATGCACCAACGGTATTAATGGACCTAAAGAACCGTGTATTCCGACCTTATCTTGATACCTTTGTAGTGGTATTCATCGATGATATCCTCGTTTATTCAAAAACCCCGGAGGATCATGAGAAACACTTGACACTCACGTTGCAAACTTTGAGAGAGAATCAATTGTATGCCAAACTCTCAAAATGTGACTTTTGGCAGGATCGGGTAGCGTTCTTGGGTCACATCATCACTCAAGAGGGCATATCCGTAGATCCATCCAAGATTGAAGCAGTGATTGAATGGCTTGCATCTGCCTCGGTAACAGAGGTAAGGAGTTTCTTGGGATTAGCATGTTACTATGAGAGATTTGTTAAAGATTTCTCCAAGATAGCAAGACCGCTAACCAACCAGACAAAGAAGATAACAAAGTTTCATTGGAATGAAGATTGTGAAGCAGCATTTCAGGAGTTGAAGAAAAGACTCACAACCGCGCCAGTCTTGACACTACCGTCAGGGACGGAGGGGTTCAATATCTACAATGATGCATTCAAGAAAGGGTTGGGTGTGTGCTGATGCAAAATAGGAAAGTGGTGACTTATGCATCAAGACAACTGAAGGTGCATGAAGTCAACTATCCTACTCATGACATGGAGTTAGCAGTTGTAGTGTTTGCTTTGAAGATCTGGAGACAACCTTTATGGAGCACAGTGTGAGATATACATTGACCACAAAAACTTGAAGTATATATTCACTCAAAAAGAGCTTAACATGAGGCAAAGAAGATGGCTCGAACTTATAAGTGATTACGACCTGGAAATCCAATACCACGAGGGAAAAGCTAATGTGGTGGCGGATGCTTTGAGCCGGAAAATGGAGCACTCATGCCGAGCAACGTGGATATTACCAGAAAAACTATTCTGAGACTTCCAAAGATTGAACTTGGAAGTAAAGCAATATGGCGAAGTAGCTAGTGAAATATAGTTATGTATTATGACTGTTACACCATCTATCTTCGAGGAGATCAAGAATGGACAACCGGAAGATGTGAAGCTCGAGAGAATCAAGGAAGGAATGAAAGATGAGGTCAACGGACCGTTCAAGACACATGATGATGGGAGCAGCCGATATAAGGGAAAGTGGTGTGTTCCGCTGAAGTGTGGAGATATTAAAAGACAAATCATGGAGGAGGGACACAACATGCCCTACTCAATACATCCCGCGAGAGTCAAACTATACAAAGCTCTCAAAAAGAACTTTTGGTGACTGGGAATGAAGAGAGAAGCAGCTGAATTCGTATCCCGATGTTTGAACTGCCAAAGGGTCAAAGCGGAGAGATGCAAACCCAAAGGACTCGTGCAACCCTTGGAAGTACCTAAATGGAAGTGGATTCCATCTCGATGAATTTTGTTGGAGGGTTACCCTTAACTAAATCTGGAAAAGATAAGATTTGGGTAATCGTTGACCGATTAATCAAAACTGCAAGATTCATTCCCATGAACGAAACTTGGAGCATGGACAAACTGATCAAAACCTACGTCAAATACGTTGTCAGATACTACGGAGTACCTCAAGATATCGTATCGGACTGAGATTCACGATTCTTATCCCAATTCTGGAAGGAATTACAAACGGCTATGGGGACAAAATTGAAGTTAAGTACTGCTTTCCTTCCAACCACGGACGGACAGACCGAAAGAACGATCCAAACATTAGAAGACATGTTGAGGTCATGTGTTCTTGATTTGCAAGGATCATGGGATGATCACTTAGACTTAATAGAGTTTTTGTACAATAAAAGTTATCATGCTAGCATCGGAATGGCCCCATACGAAGCTCTATACGATCAAAAGTGTAGAAGTCCCTTATGTTGGAGTAAAAGTGTAGAAGTTCCTTATCTTGATCTACTTTAGTTGGAGTATTTTGTTATGAAGACTAGAGATGGAGTATTTTTTACTCTAGACTAGACGTAATAAATAAGCAAACTAACTTATCCTAATTTATAAATATCTTAGTACGTACTTTAGTAGCCATTGGGTTAAAATTAATTTAGTGACAATCTGAACTTTAAAATTAACTATATAGAAATGCAAATAAGACTTTTATCATAATATAAAATTAACTATTACCCCTGTCCCATAATATATAAGATATACCCTCTGCCCAAAACAAAATACTTCTCAATTTGACTTGACACACTTATTAAGAAAGTGAGAATAAATTGAAAATTTACGGTTGTAGTTGAGTAAGAAAAAGGAAAATAAATGTTAGCCACAAAAAACTTTCCAAAAAGGGAAAGAGGAAGAATTTTTTGGGACATCGCAAAATGGTAAATGAAAAAAAATTGTGGGACAGAGGGAGTACATATATGTTTGATGTGAGTTTTAAGAAAATATAGGATAAAGTGACAATTTCACAATTGTAACTTCCAAAAAGTAAGAAAGAGTAAGATGTGTTCATAAAAAGTAAATAGTAAAATGATAAATAAATGAATAAAGTGGAAATGTAAAAAGTTAATGGAGTGTTCACTTCAGAAAATTGTTCATATATTATGTGACAATCTAAAAAAGAATGCACATCTTACAAAGTTGGGTAAAAGGAGGACATACCAATCACAAATGTAATTATCTCAAACTATTAATTTAAGTGGTTAATATATTATTAATACAGTTGGCACTTAGCAAGATTAGAATGTTGTTTACATTGATAATATAAAAGTCTAGGTGATCTTTAGTTCTTTACACAAAACATATCTTTCACGTCCTTTGGTATATACGTGATACGTCCTTTGGTATATACGCTTTTCAAGTTTGTTTTAGCTTTATACGTTTTCGTGCAACTTTTGAAATATACTTTTCTGATCTGCAAACAGTGAAAACTAACATGCATTACATAAAACAATGATCATTTTTTGGCGATTGTCTAATTTCTTTTATAAAAACAAATTTATTTAAAACAATCATAAATGAAACTATAGTAGATCATTTTCAAAAGATGAAAATGGATGGAGTAGTTGGATCTTGCCTCCAATACATTGTATTTCTGGATCAGCCATTGACTATATGACTTGTCCAAGTCAATCCCAACTGCATTTGAAGAATGTATTCAAGAGGTAAACAAAATCACATACGCTTTTTTGAGTTAATACTTTTATGAAACATCCCCGATAATCAATATGAATAATGTTGACAAAATAACGTAGAGGTAAGCTATTTCAATAAAGTTACGGAGCATTTCAAAAAAAAGGAGATGGAAGCTATATCACGTAGTACTAAATTGCCAATATGAGGGGCGGAGTTAGAGCACCTCGGCCCGGTCTAAATTTAAAAAATATTTATATTTTTAGTGTAAAAACTTTTGTGTAGTTTTTTTAAAATATATTCTTTGTATCGATCCAGTTGGGTCGAGTGCCTGATATATCTCCCAAATACCGCATTATTATCACATAATCAAGCAAATTTGACTGAAAACTTTGTTGGATCATGGATTACACAACCATCAGCCCATTTCTATTCTACCTTCCTCTTCTCTTCCCTCTGTATCTCATCTCTAAACACTTCCACCGGAAATTAAAGAACTACCCGCCGGCGCCGTTCCTCACCCTCCCCGTCGTCGGCCATCTCTACCTTTTAAAAAAGCCTCTCCACAAAACCTTAACCAACATTTCCAAGCGCTACGGACCGGTCGTCCTACTAGACTTCGGCTCCCGGAAAGTCCTCTCTGTCTCCTCTCCTTCCGCGGTGGAAGAATGTCTGTCCAGAAACGACGTAGTTTTCGCGAATCGCCCCCGCCTCATGGTCGGGAAGTATATAGGGCTCAACTACACCGCCCTAGTCTGGACATCCTACGGCAACCACTGGCGGAATATCCACAAAATCGTCGGCGCCGAAGTCTTGTCCAATAACCGCCTCCATTCGTCCCACGAAATTCGATCAGATGAGGTGAAATCCATGATCAGAAAGCTGGACTCATATTCAAAAGCGGATTCTCCGGCTGACATGAAGGCTGTATTTTGCGATCTCATATCGAACATTATGATGAGGATAGTCACCGGAAAAGGTTATAACGGCGACGATAAGGAAGTGGCGGATCGATTCAAGGAGATCGTAAGGGAGGTTTTCCTCCTAAGTGAGGCCACCAACGTCGGAGACTACGTGCCATCTTTGAGTAGGCTATCCGTGAAATTGGAGAAGAGATTGCGACAGGTACAGCTCAGAAAAGATTCATTCACTCAGGATCTGATTACAGAGTGTCGGGAAAGGATGGTTAACCGCGGCGGCAGCGGGGATGCGGCGGGGGAGAAGAAATCGCTTGTTGAAGTGCTGTTGACGCGGCAAGCAGAGGAACCCGAATGTTACGAGGATGAAATGATCAGAGGTCTCGTGGAGGTACGTGCGTTATTCTTTAGCATTTTATTTCCATTATTTTTACAAAGAAGTATGCACTATTTTTTCCCTAGAATGATGCATTAAGGACATACCATCTTGTAAATGTAACTGCTATATTAAAACATATCCTATGCTTGTACACCCATTACTAGTCATATAATGGTAAGTAAACTTTTTAAGTCATATTATGGGAAAATGGACATGTTTTAGTAATATATTGGTATTTTCCCCATTTTAGAATCTATAAACATAAATTTCGATGTTATTTTTATATTTAACCTCACTAATGGTGGTTTGTTTTTATGTTTAACCTATACTCAATCACTGACCAACTTTGTTTATCAAACACGTGATTTTCATTTTCACGTGTTAAATTATGTAATACTCCGTAATAAAAAAGCAAAATTGACACTATTAATCTCTACTTTTACAAATTTTACAAAAATAATCCATAATTGAAAAATTCACAACAATAATCCTAACTACTTAACTGTTTTACAAAAATAAACCGAGTGCTAACGATGTTAAGTTTTCTGTTATTATTTTTTAATATATTGAAGCAAATATATATATATATATATATATATATATATATAAACATTAAAAAAATCATATTTAAGTTTAATCTTGTTTCTACTAAAAAATTAATTTCATATTGAATATTTTTCATAAAACATAATATATTTGAACACTTCATAGTACATACTCTTCAAATTCTCTATTTTTTATTACTGTTGAAACTGAATAATAGTAATTACTATCATATTTTGACATTATTTGACTTTAAATATGAAAATATATTTTAAGCTTGACAATAATTACTCATATTTTGAAATTTCAAAATGTTTTTACTACTATTCTTTTAAATTTTCTTTTAAACTTGCATGGGGAACTAGCGAACTGAATTGAAAATATATTGGGGATTTTTCACAAATAAGCTTAAAACTGAAAATTATATCACTTTAGTCAACTTATAGAATTGTTTTCAAAAATAGACTCACCAACTTTTTCCTTTCACAAATACACTACTTGCTAGTATATAAAAAACCCCATCTACGGGAATTGAAGTTCTGCTCTTGTCAACACGTTGGTATTGTATCTATCCATGGTTTTAGATTCTCAAGTGAAGGGATCGGAAGTAAAAAAAAAATCATAGTAAATGTTAAAATTAACAGAAAAATGTTAAAATTCAATAAAATTCAAAAAAAAAATGATAATAAATAGAAAGCAATAAAAGTCAAAAACGACAAATTAAGTTAAAAAGTAAAAAAAAAATACTCATATTAACGAAAAGAAGTATATAAAAATTTGATGATGAAATACCGTAAAGTAAGTTTAGAAAGTAAAAAAAAAAGTAATTCTAAGTTTCTAACGATACAACAATTAAATTTTTAAATGTCCATACACTCCGTACTATATAAAAAAATATAAACCCTCAAAAATTAAAAAAAAAAATCTAGAAAATTGAAAACAATAACACTGAACTTTAAAGTTCTAAATCATTAAAATTCTATAAAATAATAATTTAAATAAATTATATAAAAAGTAATTAGACACACAAATTTTTTAAATTATTTTAAAAGATTAAAAAGATTTAAAATAAATTTAGAAAAGTCTTAAAGTGACAATATATACCTAAAGTTTCAAAAAAGATACATTAACAATTACACAATAAAAAAATCTATTTGACAAAAAATATAAAAACGCACAAAAAAACACTAAAATTGTGTAAATTCGCATAGAATAAAATTTAAATTCTTGAAAATGAAAATGCGAAAAATTAAAATTAATAAAAAGTGGAAAATTTGTAAAAAATAAATAATGTGAATTTTTTGATTTGATATTTTTAGCTACAAATATAATAATTATCACCAAGGCATAATATTTTTTATTTTTGTTGCATATTGTTTCATTATGTTTCTTTTTATTCATAAATTTGATATTTTTTGTTTTTTATTCATGTTTTCTGTTGTTAATTTTCGTCAACCTAAAAATACTATTATATATACATATAAATATATTGCTTTTTTCATTCTAAAGTAGTAAAAAATAGAAATCCAAATAAAAAATAACAACGAACTATTAAATAGATAATAAAAAACAAAAACAACATGAATGCATGATACAACAAAGAGTAACACAATACAACAAAAAGTAACACTAAGAAACAAAGAACAATACGATGAAACAAAAAGAATTACAATAAAGAGCAACAGGATGAAACAAAAAGAAACAAAATAAAGAGCAACGAGATGAAACAAAAAGAAACAAAATAAAGAGCAACAGGATGAAACAAAAAGAAACAAAATACAGAGCAACAAGACGAAACAAAAAGAAACAAAAAAAAAGAGCAACACGATGAAATAAAAAACAACACAATATTACAAAAAACAACCTGATTTAACAAAAAACAACACCATACAGTAAAACCAAAAGAATATAATTACAACATTTACATATGTTTAGTGAATACATCCTTCAACTTACTTTTCAGTTTTCACATTCACGATACAATATTAGCTACTATGTATATTAAAGTGCAAAAAACTCATGATGTCCATCAATAATAATATTTTCCCTCCATCCCATTGTCATTAAATCTAGAAACAGTATCTCTAGGGTTGTTAGCGGCATCTAGGGAAAGTTTCCAAGCCCCTCATCAAACAAAAACTTCTGACTTTTATTGAAAGTAAAGCAAATTACAGGTGTTGCATGATGCACATCGAATCAAAGTAAATGAATAATTCAAGAAAACTACTTCAAGGAAATGAAAAAGATCATCATTTTAATAGGAAGATTCATAGTAACCCAAGACCTGTTTGGTGACGGTTATTTGACTTAAATGGCTAACTATATGTCGATTTTTTTGAAGGAAAGGGAAAGTTTTCTATTCCATTACAGAAACCATTTTTATCCTTGTATTAACATAGTTACATTGATTAAGATGTGCCAAAATATAAATTCATTTCTTTTAGTAGTTATGCACTATTCTTCAATACCAAAAAAGTGTAATTAAAATAAGCACCTCACCAGGGAGACTTTAATTGAGAATATATTAAAACACAAAATGGTTACAAACATTCTCAATCCGAAAGGGTCCTTCGAAATTCTAAAAAGCTGCTCACATTAATTTTTCACTCTCATTCCCCCACTTGTGTGACCCATCATCCAGATTCCAGAGTGTCATTTTGAGACGATGAAAGATGAAAACACAAAGAAAAACATAAGAAAATGCAGGTGACGAAGGGAGATGATATCATTACTCACCCAATGAGCTCTCTTCGCGCACACATAATTGCATTTTGTTAAGCTTTCTCTTTAGGCGCACAAAGTTAGAAGAATAGAGTAGCAATAGAAGAATTATTACCTGACAAAAGCTTGATTGCTCCATAATATTATATCCTTTTAATAAAAAAGGGCAGCTACAGGGGATCAAATACCACAATACCTCGCCTTCCACTTCCCTGGCAAGAGAAAAATCTTACTAGTAATTGATGATGAATATTTATTTTTTTATTAAACTAAGAAACAAAAAATGAATGTAATCACTTATCTGAAACAAAAAGTAGAAGAATGAAGAGGACTCATGGCAATCCATCATCTCCAAAGGAGAACAAGTTACAACAATCTATCATCTAAAAAAGAAGATTGATTTTCCGTGAAGAGAAGTCATATACGTGATACGCCAAATTCAAAAGCGGCACAGGTTGAAATGCAGATTCAAAATCTTATATGAGAAAAATTAAATGCACCTATCATAATCGATAAAATCGGTGAACACGACTGAATCATGATATCAGCTAAATCACGAGAATGAAAAAAATCGTTCAGATCGCGGAATCAATTAGCTTGAATCTCTAAGCTTCGACTTTTGGATGCATGTGCTCTATGCGGATTTGCCATCGAAATCATGAGTGAAGATGAAGCATAAATGTTCCGCATCGCACATATTGACATTTGTGTTGTACTTCGTATTTAGCTAGATGAGAACTGAGAAGGGAGACGAGAGCGGAAGCAGGTTTCGGTGAATGAATAGACTATTTTTGAAATAAAAGAAAGTAAATTGAAAAGATGAAAGTTCATAGATGAAAAAATTATAATACGGTGACATACATGATACGTAGCTTGTAAAAATGACCCATCCGGGTGATTACCACAAATATATTTTCAATATATTTTGGAATTTCTTTTAAATTATTTGACTTTAAATTTTCCTTTTAACTTGCATGGGGAACTAGCGAACTGAGACTTTTAGTAGACAGAGGAAAAGAAAGCTAACAATATATATATATATATATATATATATATATATATATATATATATATATATATTGGGAAGAGATCAAATAAAAAGAAGTTCTCCCGTGCAAAGTGCGAACAATTGCACTTTTTCTTCACCGCGTTGCACTTTTGCGTGTTTCTGTTGCACTTTTTCGCGATGGCAAAAAACTTCGTTTTAATTACGAAATTGCCACCGCGTTTTTGATCAAATTTAGTTCACTTTTGGCTCATTTTGAGCCATTAGATCTCAAAATGAACGCACGAGATTAATTCTCACTTTGCATGGGAAGACCTCTTTGTATTTGAACCCTCCCATATATATATTAGAGAGAGAGAGAGAGATAGAGAGAGAGAGATCAGGTGAGAAGTGTCCATTAAAATGAAAAGTGAGAACTAATCCCAACCCTTGGATTTGCATCTAATCTTACAACGCAGTAAACTTATATATTGAATATATGAACTTACAACCAATGAATCATAACTTATAAAGCTCTCCATAATAATTACGAAAATGCCACCGCGTCAAAAAATTTTCAAGGTTTCCAGACTTATTTTTTTGCGGTGACATTTTCGTAATATTTTCGAGAGGTTTATAAGTTATGATTTTTTGGTTAAAAGTTCTTATATTTAGTCTATAAGTTTAATTTCACAGTTTTCAGTCTAAGAGTACTTCTCATCTGATCCTCTCTCTCTCTCTCTCTCTATATATATATATATATATATATATATATATGTGTGTGTGTGTGTGTGTGTGTGTGTGTGTGCGCGCGCGCGTGTCTTGTTTTAGTTTGACATCATTATTAATAAAATGGTTAAAAAAGTCTAATTTGTGATTGAAGTGTGAGTATACTAAAGTGGAATGACTTGGACCATATATTTCTTTCAAAAAAAGAAAACAAGGCACTTGTTCTGAACAATCGAAAAATGAAAGTAAGGCATGTAAAATGAGAGGGAGAGAGTTATACTAATTTCATTATACTACAGGTTGTCTTAGGAGCAGGAACAGACACATTAATCGCAACAATAGAATGGACACTCTCACTATTGTTAAACCACCAACAAGTCCTGAAGAAGGCGCGAAATGAAATTGATTACCATGTGGGACATGCGAGGTTAATTGAAGAATCGGATGTTGCAAAACTCCCCTATTTGAATTGCATAATGAAGGAAGCAATGAGAATATACCCTGCTGCCCCTTTGGTAATCCCACACGAGTCCTCCGAAGAGTGCAGCCTAGCAGGCTATTGCATCCCAAAAGGGACAATGCTATTGCTCAACTTGTACTCCATCCAAAGAGACCCCGCATATTGGGATGAGCCAGAAAGGTTTAACCCCGAAAGATTTGCAGGCTTAGAAGGAGTTAGTAGTGCTAAAGACCATGAGTATAAATGGATGCCGTTCGGGTCTGGTAGGAGACGTTGTCCTGGAGAAGCGCTAGCATGGCGTGTGGTTGGACTATCATTGGCGTCGGTTATCCAATGCTTTGATTGGGAAAGATTTGGAGGCGAATCAGTAGATATGACTGAAGGAATTGGTTTGACTTTGCCCAAAGCATTTCCTTTGATTGCTAAGTGTAAGACGCGACCTTTTGCCACCAACCTTCTTTCCACGTATTCAACAACATGATTTTTTGTGTTGTTTGTTGTAGTGTATACATTATTTCCATTTATTATTACTCATTCACTATTGTTAAATCGCACTTCATCAATTTGGAATAGGATCTCATAGAGTTGCCCCATTATGATGTTACTCATGAATCAACTAGGGGCCTGTTTGATAATGGTTGCAATGGTTGAAAGTGTTGAAAGTAATTTAAATGACTGAAATTTCTGAAGTGAAAGTGTTCGGTAGTATGTTGACTGAATTGATTGATTGAATGTATAATTACAAAAAAGAATATTACTTTCTTTGTATTTTAAATATATGTATGTTAGCAACGACTAGTTTTTACCAATATATGCATTTCAAAAATAAATCTTAGAAGACATTTGTGTAATTTATAACTAACTGCATAGCAGCCACTAGTTTTACTTATATATGTATTTTCAAAAAAAGTATTAGAAAAGACATTTTTTAATTTGTAATTTCAAAACAGCCACTAGTTTTACATTACCGACTTACTAACCATTTTGTTTTGAAATAATTTGTTCTGTATATTTCCTATTAACTCCAAAAGGTTTTGACGTTACATTTCAGCCGCATAGTCCCATACTTGACAGCTTGATTTGAAGAGAATATAAATGTCTTTTAAAGTTTTAACCATAGGAAAATACAAATCAGTCAAATAAGCCCATTCAATAATCGTTTGGAGTTTTATTTTGGAGTTTCACGCTGATCAACCCATTTTAGATCCTCAAAACACCTTCTAGATAAAATATGATGATTAACTTTTTCTCCATAGTATAAATGTTCTACTATAGTATAAGATATCAATCGTGCAACATCTATTCGAGTTAGGGATGGATCCGGGTCAGACCGGGTCAGATCGGGTCTAGCTTGGGCTTGGCGGGTCGGTAATTTACTAAAAGGAGGCCCGGTACAAGACCAGTTTGTACCGGTACTAGTTCTGGTCCGGGTACCCGACCGGGCCTCGGTCCGATCCGGATCGGGTTGGGTTGATCCTTTTTTTAATTACTTCAACAAGTGCTACACATTAAAAATTAAATGTATATTTATTTGAAATATGAAGTGCAATTGATAATTGAGAATAATTTAAAATATGAAATACATTTGCTAAACTCAGTCGGAATCTCCACCAGCGTCGATTGTTATTTTCTCCATGAAGTGGCGGTCAGGGGCGATGCAAACTTCTTGAGTTCTGCGATGGGCCTTCAACCAATCGTGGAAGCAAATGAGCTTTTCAAGAGGTTGTGCGCTCAATCTCGTTCTATAATCGATTAGGACGTTGTCGACTGCGCTAAATTATTGTTCCACGGATACTGTTGACACCAGCATTGATAACACTTGTTTCGTCATTTTCGATAAAATTGGGAACATTCCTTCTTTGTTCTTTCACCATTTGAGAACGTCAAAGTCTCCCTTCTTCATACTCACGAGAAAACGTTAAATCTAAAGAAAGCTCATTAATCGAGCTTTGTGCAACAGTAGGAGTTGATTTTTTTCATAAGATTACCAAATGTAGTTTTGGAAAATGATTTTCCTTTAGATGAAGAAGTAGTTGGTTTTGGGGGAGGGAGTGCATTGTCATAATATGCGTGAAACTTATTAAATAATTGATGAAATAAGTTGTTAACCTCATTGTATTGCTCTTTAGGATCTGTGGGCTTGTCTTCATACATAGGTAATGGACCAAAAAAAACAAGTATAATACTCCTCCCGTTCTTTATTATCTGTCCTGCTAGCCTTGAGCATGGGTTTTAATAGAAAAATAGTAGGATAAATGTAGAGTGTAGGGTAAATGATAAAGTAGGAAAGAGAGTATATTAAAAAGAGTAAAGTGGTGATAAAGTGATAATAAAGTAGGAAAGAAAGTATATTAAGGGGGTGTTTGGATCTGATTCTTAAAACTACTTCTGCTCCTTCAGGGAGCAGAAGCAGAAGTTGGGGTGTTTGGGTGAAAGTGCAGAAGTGATTCTGGTGCTCTAATTTACTCCTAGAATCAGTTTTTTTTAGAAGCTGGGGGTGACCAGCTTCTGAAAACTGATTCTGATTCTGCTTCTGCTTTAAAAAAGAAGCAGAATCAGAATTAGTTCCAAACACCCCCTAAGTAGAGTAAAGTTATGATAAAGTAGGAAAGAGAAAGTAGTTTGTAAAAAGTGAGAGGGGTAAAAGTAATAAAAGTGGGGGTATTTTATCAAAAACATTCCTAAAATAGAAAGAGAGACAAATAATAAAAAACGCCCCAAAAAGGAATGCGAGACAGTTAATAAAGAACGGAGGAAGTAATACTCTAAACAAGATTAATAGGTAGCAAGTTAATTTGAAACGTAGATCAAGAACAAAGGCAATACCATATAAAGGCGGAATTAATGTATAATATTTTTTTAAAAAAATTCTTTCATAAAATCACAAAAATAATGAATGCAAGGGGCATTGGAAATTGTTGGCCGGGAGTTGTAGGGGGAGATTGTTGGGTAGCCAGTATGCGGTGCCAGTAATCTGCTAGTCTGTCGGTGCAATCAAAACATGACGATTTGCCTTTTCTATAAAGGAGGAAAAGCGTGTTACATTATCAGCGATTGCATTTAGTGGTAATCACAACGATCTACATCAGTAATTACGACATAACCTCGAGGAGGTATTAGTAATTTTCCCTTTTTTATACGAGTTGGTAAAGCAATTTAAATGCTACTCCGTAGTATTTACTGTCAAGTAAAGGAGTACTCCCTATGATGAGGGGGATGGCGATTGGGCGATCGGATGTGTGGATGAGTCACCGATCCAGAGTGATGGCGCCTCCATGTTTTTACTGGGAATGGCAACAGATAACTAGAGACTTTGATTTCAAACCTGGGATGAATTTGGGATTCCAGTTTGGGTGCAATAAGGGTTTTCACCAGAGAGATTACTGAAATATGGCGGCGATATCAGCGTTAGCGATAGAATACTGAAATAGGATATAGCCACTGGGGAAAATGCTCGTAGTTTGCAGAAGCGATCGGACTAAGAAATACCTTCCTCGCATTGGCAGGACAGACGCAACACCAGGACAACCTTTTGGCAAGCACGGAATTCCAACTGGGTGCGATCTAATAATAAGAGGCGTGATCAAGGTCAGAAATCTTCATCTCAAAGCAATGGACAATAGATCTCTGGCGGTCACCGCAACTCAGTTCATTTTCATGCCTTACGATTGAAAGAAAGTCTTTTTTCTTTGCTTTTATTCCTCGTGCTCTCTGCATCTGCCAATTTAAAAACAATCAAACTCGCTCCATTTCATTGGAAGAAGATGGAGTACTTTGGTTATGAAGATCTTTTTTAGAGACCCAAGCTGGAAGCTCTTGGCTTTACATGAGCTACGAGAGATCTCACAAAATCGTTAATCTTTTGAGAAAAATCAAAGAGGATTTTTTTCGTTTGGTGGATTTGAGAACTCAAGGAACACCGACTATAATGAATTTTTCGGAAGGTCGTAGAGGAGAAGGAGCTAAACATTTTTGTTTTGCTTTATTGGAACAACATGAAATGTTGAAACATGTGGGTTTGAAAGAAGTATCGATGGAAAATTCCAATAAGGTTTTAGATGATCTTGGGGTTGTTTGTTTGGAATTGGCAGATTCATGTTTTGAGAATCAAGGGTCCATTTCTTCAAAAGTTTTTCACAATGATCTACAAAATTATGGATTTCAAACTCTGTTTCGATCAAAACAACTAATTGAGGTTGCTCAAGAGAACACAACTATTGTAGCGAAGGGGTTTGACCATATTGATGGGGATGCCCTGAGATTTCACCATTCCAGGTTTCATTTCCTACATTGCAGTATAATGATAAAATCACTTCGGGACTTGATGAAGATGAACATAGTTCATCGCAATCTGATGCTTCAGATGAATCAGGCGACGAATATATTACTACACCCCTTAGAAGATCTCCCTTAGATCAGAAGCTTTTGGATAGGTTATCGAAAATCAAGACTCTTCAGATACCTCGCTTGAGTGCATGCATAAAGATCAAGAGTGGTGTCACCTTGTAAATTTTTTCGGGACTTGCAGAGAAGCTTGGGTTTTCATTTGGGAACTATTCCAGATTACCGTATTTGAACTCTTCTGGATGATGATGCAGTTGGCTGTTTTTAAGAGATTCACAAGTCTTTTGGGACGAATTGGGATTTTAAGCTAGATTTTTTATTTTCTTTCGTTATTAGTGTTAGTCTTTCATTGGCTTTTGCTTGATCGTTTGCTTTCTACTTACATTAGCTTTCAACTTTCATTTGCTTACGTAGTAAAACATTGCCGTTAAGTAAAATTTCTTTTTTATATAAAAAAGAACTTTAAGTCTTTCTATTTATAATAGTATGTGACACATTCATCCTTTCAAATTATAATTTTTATGTTCCCCACATAAGGTATGTCTAATTTTTGATTTCTAATATCCACATGAATTGATTTCGTTTGGACTAGGACTGGACAAAATGGTTTGATTTAATCGAACCGAATTAAACCGAAAATTGGTACTTGGTTTGGTTTAGGTGTACTTACGTAAACCGTTTGATAATAGTTTCATCAAACCGAATGGTTTGGTTTGGTTTTAGACCAAAAAGCGTAAAACTAACTAAATACCGAAGAACTTGTAATATTTATAAAAATACTTTGTATTTATTTTCACTCTTTTTTTTTACTCCAGGTTTGTCTGGGGGGAGGGCCGGAGTAATCAGGGTTGAAACTCACTCCATTGAGTTTCAAACCCTTATGTGTCTAGCGTGTTTTATACTCGAGACCTCCCACTAGGCACGATAACCTCACAACCAGCTAGGCTGGAATGCTTGGTTTTTATCTTCACCCTTCATCTTTAGGATATAAATAAATTTTTTAGATATGAAAAATACATGTTTAGTTAAACTGGAATACACTATACATTTTACATGATTCATTTGAATTAGATTTTGAATTTTACAACATTTTTACCATTGACTCATCAAGTTTTCTTTGAATATTTTATGTGATATTATAAATCCTAATCAACCATAAACTTAGTTTTGTGAGAGGTGAATCTTTTTTATAGTGGTTGAAAAGATGCTAGACGTTTTCATGTCACCGGTCTTTCGATAAATTAGGTATTGATTTATAATATTTTATTATTTCTTTTTCTATCTTTTATTTCCCTTTACATTTTATTTAAATAATAGATACAAGAAGATAAGATGAACTTTTATTTACTTTTTCATATCCTAAAATATAGAACTTGATCACATAAAATAATAAACATATGAAACCAAATCAATTGAACTACATTAAACCTAGCTAATTAAGTTTTCACTTTGGGAAACCAAACCTAAACGTACCAAACCGAAATAGAAATGATTTTAATTTGGTACAATATCTCTCAAATCGAATAAACTAAACCGATAAAAATCGAACCGTAAACTGAATTGTCAACCTTTAATTTGGACTAGTGGATTGGCCTGTTTAGCCATGTGGCCCATACATTAGCCTTCTTATTCATCTTGATGAATTTAACAAACTGATGTAAACTGAATTGCCCACTACCTCTAATTTGGACTAATGGTATATATTACATCGATTTTTATAAATGTGACCAGTCGAGATGTCTCGACAACAATCTTAGATACAGACTGAGTTAATTAAATTAACAAGCTGATGGTGTATAATTTCATGTGTTCATCGACATTAAATAAAAAATGAAGATAGGTACCTACAATTGCATCTTAAAAGAAAAGGAAAACCTAACATATCCATATACAAGATTTGTTTGATCTGAAATTGCACAATGTTGAGAAATTCAGTCCCAAGTAAGAATCTAATCTCACAAACATGATAAAATTCATAGAATCAAGAAATAAGAACACTAACCGGTTGAGGAGAAACCGAATGTTGATGATGTCGTAGAAGACGATAAAGCCATGACGTTTGATTCTCTAAGGATACAAGCAGATTTCGATGGATTAAACGATCTTCCTTGGGTCTCCTAATATAGGTGTTCTTGAGACCTTTGGGAAGAGACGTGTCCGGCCATTTTAGTCGTAAGAATGGAACATAGTGTTTTTATCTTGTATCAAAGAGAAACTCCTTTGGTCCCTTATGTATTATTTAATGTTAAAACATACTCATCATATGTTAACTACACATACATACATGGACCAAATCTGTCAAATGGCAAATTTAATTGTAAGACATAAATGTCCCCAATATATCTTAAATTTTATAAATGGTCCAAGGGCACTTAAATGGAATATTTTCCAACATTCTCCCACTTGACCTTGAGATCATTTATACAAGTTAAAGTAAGTTTTGGCCAAGAAAATTTCATCTTACTCCATAATAATATCAAAGCAAACAAATACAGTCTAACGGTTCAATATAACCCGAGACCCCCATTAATCATACTTTGACACTTCTTAAAGAGTATAAAGATTAATATAAGCCAAATGACATTAAACTTAGGGCATTATATTTATCTATTAAATAACTTTGTGTGCACAATGACGAATAGACAAAACATACTTAAGGAGGAATTCTAAATCAAGTACTTGAAAATATTAAATAAGATAACTAATCAGACATTATGCTATTAATTCCTAAACATGATCTTTGATCAAGCCCATATTAGTGACATGTCTTTGAAAAATATTGTGCGGAAGTCCTTTGGTGAGAGGATCTGCTAGCATATCATTTGTGCTGATGTGTAGATACAAATTTCGTTTTCCTCCACTCTTTCTCGAACGAACAAATATTTTGTATCGAGGAACAATCCCGCTCCACTCGAACTTTTATTGTTTGAGAAGCTCACGGCCGCAGAATTGTCACAATAAATCCTTAGTGGTCTTGAGACGGAATTCACTACTTTGAATCCTTTGATAAGATTCCTTAACAACATCCCATGACATGTTGCGTTGTACACCACAACATATTCGGCCATCATTGTTGAAGTAGTCGTAAGTCTTTGCTTGTGGCTTTTCCAAGATATTGGCCCACCTGACAGCAAGAAAATGTATCCCGAAGTAGACTTCCTATCGTCTTTACACTTAGCAAAATCGAAATCGGAATATCCAACCACTTCTAAATTATTAGACCTCTGATAAGTCAATTTGTACTCCTTAGTCCCTTGAAGATACCACAAAACTTTCTTAGCGGCTTTCCAATGATCTAATCCTGAGTTAGATTGATATCTACCCAACATACCGGATACATATGCAATATCTGGACGAGTACAAACTTGAGCATACATCAGACTTCCAACTACGGAAGCATACGGAATGAGTTTCATTTGCTCTTTCTCAACCTCGGTTTTTGGGCATTGGAATGACCCAAAAACATCTCCCTTAACTACTGGAGCAATTGATGGAGAGCATTGTTGCATATTGAAACGTTCTAAAATGCGCTCAATGTATGCCTTTTGGGACAAGTGACGTGCACTTGTCGTGAGGTGCACTCAAAATAATTTATCAATACAACACTAATACGTAGTATAGTGTAGTAAGGTTCGTATCCACAGGGAAAGGAATACTTTTCTCTTATATAAACAGTAACAAGGGGGGGTTTTAAGTTTGATTTAAATATACTAAGATGAACAACCTATATGAGTTTGATTAATAGAGATGAGGACTTGGTTTTGCTTTTATCCACTTAATGAAATGTTCGTCGATCCCGGTTATATCTTTAACTATCTTCCTCTCGAATACTCAATCGAGGAGTATATCCAGTTCATCGAGGGTAGTTATTAATAACGAGATGCGTTCATTAATAAAACTTACTATCGAGTCAATATAGAACAAGCGCCGTATATTAACTTGATAGTAGCAATAAACTTAAGATGAAAACGATTGAGATTGATAACCTCAACACAAGCGGTTTATTGGTTTAATCAATATAATTAATTCCCCTTGGAATATTAACCATGAGATGCATGCATTAATATTCCAAGTTTACTACCATTGAAAGAACCGGATTAATAACAAGCGTATTAACCGATCAATTCTAGTAATAATTAATATGAGAAACAATACTAGTTTAAACTTTAAGTAATGTTTAAAATATTAACATGAAATATGAATAGGAATTAATTAATACTCAAGGAAGAATATTAAAGAATATGAATCATACTATGATTAAGATCAAGATGTTAACTAATTGTCATCTTAGTAACACTCCCCAATATTAACATAGAAAAAGAAATAGCTATTACTATAACCAATGTCAAGATGTTAACTAATTGTCATCTTAGTAACACTCCCCAACTTTGATATAGAAATAGTATTTTAAAGGAAGAATTAATATTCAAGGAAGAAGATTAAAGAAAATAACTCACAGCTTACAAATTCATTAAGCTTCAAAGTAGCAAAACCAAGATGGAAGAGTTTAGCTCCTCATTTGTAGACTAAACATGATGAAAAATATAAAGAAAGAACTATTCTATACTGAGCTTAGAAGTATGGAAGAAGGGATGATGAAAAGTGAAGGAAAATGGGGTTATTTATAGATGTTTTCAACACCTAATAATGCCGGATACCTGGCCGGGTATTTTGACATACCCGACCGGGTATTTACCAAATCAAATATTTTTCCCATGTTTTTGTGTCTTCTGCACGTTCTTTGGTCCGAAATCACTTCATACCCGACCGGGTATATGGAATACCCGACTGGGTATTTGCTAGTTTTGCAGCAGTTTCCTTTGTCACTTCATACCCGGCCGGGTAAAGTCCATACCCGACCGGGTTTTGCACAAAACTCAGGTTTCTTCATCCTTTTTGCTTCCAAACATATCCTAAACTTATAGCCAAACTAACTACAACTTACAACAAACAATAAAATGCTAGAAATACGATTACAATCAAATGCAAACTAACAACTATAAACTTGCACAAAACTAGTAAATAATCATTACAAACAATAATAAAAATGTATACTTAGGCACTAACAACTAGTGCCTATCAACAAGCCTAACGTCCCTTTGACTCTATCTTGGTGAATTTCAATGCCTATAACATAAGAAGCTTCACCTAGATCTTTCATGTCAAAATGGCCAAATAATAAGCGTTTTGTTTCATGCAATAAATCCAAGTCACTACTTGGTAATAAGATGTCATCAACATATAACACAAGTATGATGAATTTGCTCCCACTCATTTTGAGGTAAGTGCATTGATCTACTTTGTTTTTAATGAAGCCATTTGATTTCATGACTTCATCAAATTTGAGGTACCATTGTCGAGATGCTTGCTTGAGCCCATAAATAGACTTCTTGAGTTTACACACTAGATGTTCTTGACCCTTAGAAACATAACCTTCTGGTTGTATCATATAAACATCTTCGTGTAAATCTCCATTTAAGAAGGCT